ATGCCTCTCAGGTCACACTAGTGGTCTCTTGGGAAGTGGGGACAAAAAGGCATTGTGGTACATTTGGCTCCTAGCGTACCTGCTGACTTGTCTGCATTTCCATCATCTTCCAGGTAGTATTGGTATCTGCTCCTGGTAACAGTGTCTCGCCACTACTGGACTACAGAGCCCTCACTGCTCATAGTTTACATTAGAGAGGCTCCTCCTTGCTTATTTGACCCCATTTCTCTATTCTGGCTTTACAGCCACGTGTAACTTCACTTTGCTCCCCTTTATGTCTCACAGCTCACATAAACGCTGGACTACTAATATTAAAAAAAGAAAAAATCCAGTGATTTTAGCTGGCTTTCAGTTTCAGGTGTCTAAATGTCAGGCTACAAGAGGCTCTCTTGTGCTTTCTGACTGTATCAGAGCTTGAACTACCAAGTTATTAGGTAACAGCTCATTGGCACAGAGCTCCTTCCAACGCATTCAGCTGGCTCAGCTCTTTCTGGTCTGAGAGCACTTTCCATTTTTCTGACTGGCGATGCATCCCATCAGCAAGGACCCACATTATTTTTTAATCTTCAACTGGTAAAGGGCTGCTGAACAAGTACAATTGTCATCTCCAAGCGTGACATCTAGCACTGCTGGCATTTATTTTGCCCATCTTAGGTGTCAGTGGAATACTTGTTGCTGTTTGCTAACAGGCTTTGAAGACTTCCAGCTGTGGACAAGGATGATGGAAATTGTGGGGCAAGGGATTTATTACAAAACCTCAGCATTTGGCGTTATCTTACTAAAGTATGTGGCCCTCTTTCTGTTATTTAGGTGTCACTGCTAATATTGATCCAAATTGGAGCTGAGTGCTGCCGAGCCCCTGCAACCTGCAAAAGCCAGGGAGTTGTTCCTTAGTACCTTACCAGTGTCCCCAGTGCTCTTCTTCAGTGCTCACAGCAAACACAGCAGTCATTTCTTGGTTCTGACACTCACTGCAGCGACTGATCAGTAGCCTGTAAGCAACTAAATTTTAGTTCCCTGTAAAAGGTTGTTTTTCTTTAACTGGTCTGGCAGTGCAAGAATAGCTCTGTGCACTCTAATACATACAGTATTGTAAATAATGACAGATAATGCTATCAAAGTCTTTTCCTATAGGGATTAACTCACTTCATTAAAATGTACACATTCTGCATAGCATAATGCAGTACTACTTCAGGACAACTATTTAAGCCAGCCAAAAGATACTATGTTCTGTGAGAACTAGGATGATCCCTAGCTGTCCTCTTACTTCCCTGTATTCAGATTTTTATAATCTTTTTAGATTAGTACATAGATATCATAGCACTGAGCACTTTTAAAAACCTAAAATAGGCTACATTAGCTTAAATTTCTAGGTAGTAAAGAAACTTGAGAGGAGAGAAACATAATTAACTTGGAGCACAGAAGGATTCCCTTGTGGGAAAAACACCCTGAACTAAAAATGGTAGTTTGTACAAAGTACCTAACAGCGAACATACAGAACCTGGCAGGTTATGCACTCTGAAGACTGATGTCTTAGGTTGAAAGCAATAAGTTTTTTGTTTTATTTTCCCTTGAACATTTGTTCTTAGACATTTAAAACTTATCTGATTTCTTTGGATATTAAAATGTAATCATCACAATTTTCAGTGCTTGATTTTTTTCTTTCAAGAAAATGAAAATAAAAGCTGTGTTGCTGGAATTGCCTATAGGTCTTTCTCTACATTCAAAGAATGCTTCTGAGAGCTATGCTAGCACATGGAGCCCAGTTCTGCTCACATTAAAATAAAAGGTGAAGTATCCTGAGCATCAGTAGATGGAGAAGGTAGGAGATGGAGAAAGCAGAAGCCCGTACAAGATCAGGCCCTCCAAAAACCAAACCACTTTTCCCAAATGATTCAGTTTTTTCCTCATAACTCACTTTTTCTTTTTAACTTGCTAAAGTAACTCTTAGTGGTTTCTGGGCTGCTTAATTTCTTTCTGCTTCTGCAACAGCCTCTGTGACAAATGGCAACTGCATACGTATTTGCTCCAGAATCAAGCTCTTGGACTGGTATTTATCAGCTGTGTAAATGCCTGATCCTGCAGATGTGTAGGTGGCTACAGAAAGGTGAATTTTACAGAACTGACTGTTGATCTACTACAGATGAAAATTTTAAAGTCCAGACTCCCGTACTAGTTATTACTGTCTTACCGTAATTCAATTTAACAGCCTTACCTAATTATTCTGGCATAATATGTCAATCCGTTGCCAACCCTCCGCAACACTGTTTGGGTTTTTTTTTTAAATTATGGTTACATTGCCAACTTAAACAAAACAGAAGATATTTCTTTCAGCTGTGTTACAGACCATTGGCCTGATTAATTCTAAGTCCTAGGAAATACTGCTATGGGAAGAAACAACTTTGCAAACCCAAACTTCTTACTTGTGCAATTCTCAGTCTCTTGCTGACTGGTCAGGATCTTTGGCTAGTTTACATCCTTCTGAACAAATCCTTAAAAGAGGCAAATTGTTTGTTTTTGAAAAATTCCAGAGTAGCTCTGTAAATACAAATTTCGGAAGACTACTACAGATTAGACGTGTTACAGTTTATATCAAGAAGTCTTCTGCTTTAACAGTATGTCAGAAATCTTATGAGATACTTTGTATTGTCTTGTACCATAAAATGACAAAAATGTTCTAATCCAGTATATCCTTCACCGAGCCTGCTTAATAATGAAAAAGCTGCCATACAAGATAAAGAAGCGAATACAGATAACACAATGAAGCTTGAAAATGGGGACAGAGAAAACTCTCCAGGCCAAACGGAAATCTACTGGGATTCTGTAAATGAACCAAAGAGGAGTTCATTCCCATTTTTTTAAGAATTAGTAAATCAGTCTCAGTTAGAAATTCTTCTCAATTCCAAATAAGAATTGTCATTATTTATTAACACAGTTTCTAACCAAGGATGTCACTATGCATTAAAATGGTAACAAACTGAACCTCACAACTGTAATTTTCATAATTCCAGTCTCACACCTTGTTCCCAGTTAAAGTGGTATATCATCACTGGATAAGCCAGAAGGAGTAAATAAAGGGTAAACACACTGAAAATCATGTCCTGACATCTGCTGAGACCACTCTGTCCCATGTCTTTTTCAGTCATATAGTAATTTATTGAATTATGAAACAATTCAATAAAACATTCTGTTACCTAACAATGATCTTATTTTAGTGCAGCTCTAACTGAAACTAATGGAAGTTTTGCCTGCAAAATGTTATGGCATAGTTGGATGCTAATTTTCTACCTTCAGGTAAAGTTCTATTCCCTTTTTTCATAAAGAGCTCTTAAAACCAGAGAAATCAGTCTTTATCAGTTTTTTAGTTAACACACATTAATTTAATGAAATTTGCTTAGTTTCCTATTTGGAATGAGTACAGAAAATACAGTAGAGGGTCAGAGACAATTCATCCTTTCCAAAGCATTTTTAATTAAGTGCGCTTTCTAACCTGTCCAAAAAAAGGTCACATCCTGAAATGTATCTTTTTCTAATGATATATATAAACATAATAAGGACACTGAGGGCATTAAATTATGCTTAGAACAAATAATGGAAGTATACCAAAGGTCTGAGAAAGCACTTCAGCCAGTGGAGTGTGAATGCACATTAACTTCCTGCTATAAACATTACAGACCAGTTAGATGATTAATTCTATCACAGTCACCTACAGCTTTAACACTGGTTTTGAAAGAGATTTTTTCCAACACTTGTTAATATTATTTTTGTGGTGACATTTATTGAAACACAAATATAAATAAACTTCATAAACATGAATTAATAATGCTGGCATTTAAAAAGTTTTAAGAAGTATTCAAAAGAGGTTAAATGGTTTGCCCAAAAGAAGAGGAGTTATGAGAGAACAAAGCACAGGACAACATCACAGTGTATCAGTGTTAATGATTTGTAGCTTTTCAAAAAATGAACCAATGTTCCTTCTTTCTACCATTTTCCTCACTATTCAGAATTATAGTTTCAGCTAGAAGGGATTAACTAAAGAAATATACGTATTCATGTACTACAGAATGAATCAGTTTACTGCTTCTGTCATTTACAGTTTTCAATGCTGAACCTCCACATGGGTAGTGGTGAGCATCCCTAGAGTAACAGCAAGCACTCTACCCCACTCTGTCTTCTTTCTGTGCATTTGCTGTCTCTAAGTGATCCTTCTTCACAACCCATTTTAGGTAACATAATATTAATTATAGCTGTTCTCCAGAGGAAAAACAGTGGTACAAAAGCAAGCTAAGGTTACTGTTTCCTTATGAGATATGCTATGAAGAACAGTCAAATTCCACTGAAGTATTTCATTACTAGCTAGTATAATACTGAATCACAGCACAACTAACGAGTATAATTGCATTCAGAAAGTTTCATTTTAAGAACGTGTCAAACATATAATTTGATTAGGGCGTGTGAGTATCTGTGCATGGGTTGTTTATGGTACATTTTTATGTATGTGAATCATAAGGCATTATGAGCCACCTACCTCCTGGTAGTAAGGAAACTGCAATATTCCTTCCTATTAGAAAGAAACCTGGACCATCTTTTTAAAAGTTGACAGCATCTATTTTAGCCCCTAAGCCTTCTAGTTAGACCAATAACATTCATGATGTTACTGAGAAATGATAGTTAGGAATTTTCTAATCTAAAAGAGAATTTGAATTTTCTGGTAATAATAAATATTCTAAAATTTAAAAAATTAAGCATTAGTATGGCATTTACAATTCTGAATAGCTCTGTTTTTTGTAAAATGTTGCTGATTTTAATGGGGGAATAGATTGTCAGTTTATTAAAGTTTGGAGCAGGTTTATTAGTTAAATAGATTGTATGTTAGGAAAAGAGCATTAAGTTTGCCTGTAAGAGGTAAGTATTTCTGTTCAGGATTGTATTTTTGCTTAGAAGACACGCAAGATTAAAAATCGTCTTTCAGGTAGCTACTGACCAGGCTTCCCGCATACCTTAGCCTGTACGTTATAAATCTCCTCTGTTAGCTTGTTAATAACCTCAGCTGCAAAGTCCATCATCCTTCTGGAGAAGCAGCAACTCAGTCTTCAAGTCAGCTCAGCTTACTGTCGCACCTGACTGGAACAATAAGATGTTATGTCAACAAGACATGCAATGGTTACAAAGCCAGTAACTGTTGATAAATTTCCTTTAGAACAGCCACAGGTTACAGTTCCTATATAGCTTTTACCATTTCCCACATCTATAATGGAAATGACATTATGAATAACATCTTTAATTTTCATGGATCAACTAAAGATACTTGTACCATTAAAATTGTGTTTAGAATGCTGCAGCATCCTTGGGGCAGAGGCCATATTTCCCTATTGTCTTACAATATCTTGAGCAACAGATTTCTGCTGTAAAAGCAGCACTAAAGAGCTTCTGTTGACTCTCAATAACAAACTAATATGTATGGCTGAAAATGAGTTAGAGGAAAGAAACTCTTAACTTAGAAGCAAATTCCAGATTTCTGTGTTATATATAAACAATAAAATTATAAAAGCATGAAAAATAACATGAGGACATCTTTTAATATTAGCTTGAGTGCAATGAAACTACCCTTTGCTGTATGATGATTATATAAAATGCAAACAATGTCATTTAGCATTGCTGGCAGTGCTTTATTATTTCAAGTGAGAAGGAATATAGTGAAAGGAATTTAGAAGGGGGGTGGATAGTGTCAGCAGTAACAACATACATGATTACACATTACTATAATTAGCAATGGAATTTAAAGAATTAAAAAAGCAACATATTTGCTTTGGTTTTAACTATGCTTTTGACTCAGCAGCAATTCCATTGATGTACTTGGCAGAAAAGTTTCTCTCAGTCTTTTTTAAAATACAAACCCATTAGAAGGAGAAATGCTGTGACCAAAGGTAAACACTTCTAAAAAGGGCCCTAAAAAACCCTCCAGAAGGCAGTTTAATCCAAATCTGGGATAACTATGGATTAAGAATACATTGATGTTAGTTTGTGCTCCCCTCTTTTAATACTACTACCTCAGGCTAATATGCTTTGGACTATTTTCCCCAACCCTTATACTGACCAACTCTTGTGTTATAGTTGCTTTTTTTACTTTGATACACAAATTTGTGAAGCAACCTTACATCACTACCTCTAACAATCTGTATACTTAGTTTCTTTTATTTCATTCTGAAGTGTGATTTCTAAAGGTTATAGGTGTCAATGAAAAAGTGATGCTGAGGTACAACAAAGGCTTGCACTTGGAGTACGTCAAACTTTGCTTAATTGCAGTTGCAATATGTTTAAAAAACATATCTGTGAAATTGATGAATGATTTATCTGATCTAAAGTATCTGCATGTGCATTTGCAGCAGCTTTCTATGCAAATAAGGTACTTATGCACACAAATTATTCTAGTTAGCTACAGGAGTCTATGATGACCTAATCTGCATGTTCAGCTGTAGTACACCTCTAAATTAACATGAAAACCATGTGCATCTTTTGCATGCAAAAGTGCATGCCCAATTAGATTGAAAGGCGGATCTTTTATAATCCCTGCATTGCTTTACTATACTGTTAATTGGAATGTACATGTTACTGGCATTCATTTTAACTCATAAGAATATTTTGAAGGTATAAGGAATAATTTGCTAAAAATATTAAATAAAAGTTTTAAAAATAAGTATATTCATCCTTTGAATAACTGTAATTCTCATATACATTTTTAAAATTTGGGAACAGAAAACATCATCTTTTATGGCAATAAATATCTGCAATTAATATTCTTAAAGTTAAAAACTTCATCAAGGTTTTTATATGCAATACTTGTTTTCACAGCATCACAAAAAAGGATACTTTTAATATCTCAGTGTATGGGGACAGAGGTTGAATGTGAGGCACAGCAGACACTGATTATACCCTCACTAAAACACAAAATAGCCAGCAGATAAATTGTGACTTAACAAGTGAGCCGGGCTTACAGCTGTCAGATAAAGCTGTACTTGAAAGGTGAACAATAAAGTTTATATAAGGTCCTTTGTCAGAGTACAGCCAGAAAAAACAAAACTGATAAGCTCATGAAATGCTACTTGTACCTGGACTTTCATCCTTTGGCTCTAGGAAAAGTAGTTGCTGGGCTAACATGTGAGTTTAAAGAAGGAACCATGTGAAAATAACATCCATAGACATATAGACTATTGAATCAAGGTATAGAAAGACAACATCGTCACTGTTAGTAGCATAAACTGTTCATAACCTATGCATGATGACCAGTTAAGTTGAGAAGCAAAATGGAATAAATATAGGCATGTGAACTTCTCGTAGTAAAAATGGAAGACTTGCTGAAAATTTCATCACTTCACTTTCTTTACAATAAATTTGAAAAGGGGTTCACTTCAGTAAAAAATTCTACTGTGAAGGGTGAAGACTTTGCACAAGGCCAAGGTTCTCAATGCTGAAACACATTAGAGACCGGATTTGTTTATCTTCTCTTCTTTTTAATGCTATTAAGAAGGTCGAGTAGAGAGGGATACAGGTACAGATTGCACTCTTCCTTATGTTGATAATATATAGGAAGGGCCACAGGAGTACTGGAAGTAGGATTTCTAAAATCTGAATATACATTAAAAAGGAATCTGAATGCTTTTGTGCTATGCTCTGCATTGGGAACACAACATTTTCCCACACATAGGTATTTTCTCTCTGTTTTGGTTGCAAAAATAATAATTTTTTCAATATCTTTAAGTTAAACCCCAAGTGATGTTAAAATTCACAAATATACAATAGCAGAAACTTTTGCACGTACCTCCATCTACAACAACAATAAAGTGGACAATTTTGCCGTTTTAGAGGCAAGTCTTGCTTGAGCCACAGAGAAGTCACTATTTACTAGTGAACAAAAAGATGAGAAAATTCTCACTTCTTGTGATTTATTCCAGTGACAGGGTTAATGACACAGGTAGACATGCCCATTGACTCATTAAATTGAACGGCAAGACACAGCTAGAAGTTAATTTTCTTTGGTACGTGCTTAGGCACCTAGTTACGACAGTATTTGTGTCACCAGAATTTATTCCCGACCTAAAACTGAGTCGATCTTTCAGTTCAAATCTATGGAGGCATTTTAGTACAACTTTTTATCTTTCAAAGCTCTGTAGTAGTAACAGCTTGTATCTTTTGTAGGTCAGGCACCAAGATGGACTTGCAACATGTAAATTAGCTGATTACAGTGGTACAGTCGCTACGGTTGTTTTGCTACACAAATATGTAGACATGTAGAATATTAATGACAACTTTCATTCATAGGCAACATACGAATGATCAATGAATGAGGTTTTCAGTGTTTAGCAGAAACCTTTTAGCAAGGTTTGATGTAACATTGTGAAATATGTAATCTCCGGTGTAGTAGATATAGCTGTGTGTGCCACCCCATATGGTTAAAAAATACACTGAAGAAGCCTGGCTCACTCCAAAGCGTGGCTGTGCGAGTTGTAAACATTTACTTTAGGAATATCCTGAAGAAAAATTTGAAGTTGGAATCAGAAGGAGCTATGCAGTTTGGGTCTGCACATCCCTGCTGAGGCGGAGGGCATGTGGTTTCTATCATCAAGGTACACTGTGGCAATCAAGGAAACTATCAAGAAAAACGGGCTCTGAGACTCCTCATAGTTCAGCCGTGCTGGGAGCTGGGATTGTTTTTCCATCCCGGTATCAAGCAATGACATTACAAGGAAGGCCAGCTGTAAAAGGAGAATAAAATACCCGTGTCATAAAAGTGTTGGGAAAATTCATTAATCTCTGTGAAATGGATTTAATTTCTTGGGTAGGTGCTAATTATCACTTGAGTATGCACCCCAAAATACTTCATATAATTTTGAGAATGTCAAAGCAGTTTTGCCTGCTTTGCAAACAAACTGAAATAAAGCAACGGTAATTTTGGCATACCATTTTAAAGTCTTATCCTGAATTTCAGTCCCTGTTTCTGCAGACACCCTGTTGTTATGTTTATCTGTTTCTATGTTTATCTGTGTTATGCTGTTAACATAATGGGCACTACTGACTGGCCGGCCTGATCCCGGCTCCTGGGCAGGTTACGGAGCAGACCCTCCGGGAAGTCACGTTCAGGCACAAGAAACAAGATGACTGGGAGCAGCCAGCACTGATTGACAGAGGCCAGACTGTGCTTAATGCGCCTAACCAGCCCGATATTCTGCAGTGTGATGACCAGCTCTATGGACAAGGGGAGAGCTGTGGACGTTGTTTACTGCGACTTCAGCAAGGCTTTTGACATGGTCTCCCAGTATCATTATAGCCAAACTGGTGAGATACGGACTAGACAGGTAGACGGTACGGATGGGGGAAAAATGGCTGAACCATCGGGCTCAAAGGCTTGCGATCAGCCGTTCAAAGTCCATGGGACTTCAGGATGCAAGCTACATGCACAACAATATAACTGAGAACGTGTTTATGGGTATTTAACCCGAATGTGAAAAGGGCTCATATCCTTTACTTACAGTAGGAGTGGAAGGCTCTAAGCTACTTCCAGGCCTGTCCATTTCTAATCAGCACATTAAAAAACAAACGAGCCAATGACTGTATGCCTCTTAAGAGATAAGAAAATTTACTTAACATGTTTAAAAATTAAAAGTATGTCAGTTGCCAGAGAACAATTTAAGAAGCTACAATTGGCCAGTGGCTAATACCCCCTAGGATTTAGGATGTGAGGAGTAATAATCCTCAGTCGGACACGTTATTTTTCCACATACCTGAGTGGCACGAAGGATCATGCAGATTTGCAATCTTGATCCACTGTGTTTCTCACCTTGACGTGCCTATGAAATACCACTGACATTGCCTCACATGGGAACTGGGAACGTTATCTCTGCCACGGATGGAAAGTGCTACTGCCAGTGGTCAGCACAGAAATTCAGAAATGCTGCGTGGAAGAAAACCCGGTATGGCCAGATCCAATCCTCTTTCTTGGAAAGTATCTAAACACTTCCTTGAAATGTTGGTATGGGATACCGGCACATGTATTTTTGACAATCAAAACTGTTTTGATTGTTTTTTGTTAACAACAAGATCAGATCCAGACTGCATTGTGTCCTCACTGGAAATTTGGCCTACTGACATATCCAACTGTTTATCTCATCATTAATTAATCAGTGTATTGAAACTGAATTACTCTATACTTCTAGTCCATTTTGAATGTCACCAGTGTATTTGGGAATGTCTGTGATATCAACATCTCTGGGTGTAAACTATGAGAAATTTTCAAGGCTTAAATGGATCTGAAACTTGTAATCTAGTCAATTAAAAAAATAAGTTAAATGCAGATTCATACTCAGAATTTGTCCTAGATGCATTTGCAGTTTTGCATTGTGTGTTGTGTTTAAATAGCCCTCTCTTGCCTACTGCTATATAAAATAACAACATAAACAAAAGAGAAAGTGACTGACCATAAGCCATAGCACAACAGTGAAGCTGACAGACAGCACTGTCAAGTAGCCTCAGTACACAAACGGAGATTCATTACATAAATTTTAGATATTAGTAATCTCAGTTGCTACTTGCAATAGAAACAGATAAAACTATACAGCTTTTGATTATGAAATTTTCAGTGTCCCTTGAAGTTTCTTCAAGTTTTTGCTATACAGATAATTTTACATGTGGAATTACTTGTTTCCTCAAATCAGCATTTCAGAAAACTTTATGGCCCACATTAAATGCTGTATTATGCTGTTACGCCTGCCAACATTAGAGGTGACTTTGGTCACCGGTCTTTGATAGTGACACATGTAACTGTTTCCTGTAACAGCAGGGTTCTTTCTGTTTTGCATCTGGATTTACTGCGATTAAGCAGTTACACTGGCTGGGTCCACTGCCAGCTCATCTCTGGCATTTACCAAACAGAATATTTTGCAAAGCACCTGGGTAAGGACTGCTGTCACTGATACTCAAACCACTGAAGACCGTAAGGATTGCAAAATCAAAAACTGAGGGGAGACTTTGGCTTCTGATGTTCACTGTTGCTGGACTATGTTTGTCAAACGGCAATTGAGGGAGGCGGCAGCCCATTTCTCCAGGACTCTGTACTCTCCTCTGTCAGTCATTTCTTGTGAGCATGTGGATTAAATTATCAGTGATCTATGCCTCCGTTTACCATCAGGAACACTGATACATTAAACCAAGGAAATTTTGAGATTTAACTAAGCGGGGTTTGTAGAAGATTATGAAAACATTCTATTCCAAGCATAAAGCATGATTTTTTCATACCGATACTGTGAATGTGCACTACCAAGATGCACAGGGACACGCCAAGTTCCTGGATCTCCAGTCATACAGAGGTAACGGTCAGAAATGATATGCGTGCTTCCTTCAAATCTGGTAACTCTAGGTCTGTGGGACAAGGTCACTCACTAAAAATAGTGCTGTCTCAGGACGGAACCTCCTGTCTCAGGAGATTCCACACAAGCCAGAACACGCCATAGCAGTGTCTCTGTGCAGCAAGACCAAATGCAGCAGCCCACAGAGAGGAGCAGTGTAACTCCACTTTAAGACTTTTCTTGGCAGTTGCACTGGTTTGGTTAGAACAAAGCCAGCATCAGTTCCTTCGTGGCTACCCAGAGCGGAAAGCTGTGCTGCACCGCATCGCAGGGCCCCGTCTCACCGTTCCCTCCATCGCTTCGCACAGCACCGACGCAGATTATTGTGCGTTTCACGTCGTGTGAGCACTAGTGATGTGGACAGCCTGGGAAGCGTTCTCCAAGCCACACTGTGCAGATAAATGGAAATAATACATTTTTACGCTGCCTTTTCTTTCTCTTCCTAGCCCCTCCAGTAGTATTAGTCTCTTCACTGATATTTGCAGCTATTTTTTGCCGTTCACAGGCATCACTAACGCAGCTTTACCACCAACTGTAACACTGACGAAGAACAGCACTGCCAGTGACGGGGGGTGTGCGTGTGACAGGGCAGCAGGTTGCCACAGCAGCCGGAACGCGAGGAGCACAGGCGCCTGGGAAGGGACACGTACAAGCTGCCACAACGCCCGCTGCCAGAGGGGG